CACTCATTGTTAATTCTCCATTCCCCCACTCATTGTTAATTCTCCATTCCCCCACTCATTGTTAATTCTCCATTCCCCCTCAGCCTCAAGAAACACTTAACCCAGTTATCATCTCTATAAATGTGCATATTCTGGATTTCACATAACAAAAAGCATACAAAACCAAAACAAAACCAAAATAACCTCCTAAAACAATAAAATAAAGCAGAGAAAAACCCAAGTTGAAAAGATAACAGGAAAAACGAAAAACTAGAACAGATCTTAAACCAGTCAAAGAGAGAAGAAATGTTAAGGTTCTGTGAAGAAATGATAAGGTTTCATCAATCATCTTCTGTAAACTGAGTGCTCAAAATTTGAGCTCTAATACTATTCCCTCCTCCACTCTTAGCTTTTGATGTTTACAATCATTGGGTCACACCATCTGGTGAGCTACTTCTGGGTCAAATTAGCAGTCATCTCACTGAGATGGCTGCTTGTTTTAAGATACAAACATTTAAGGTCTGACACACCATTCTTTCTGACTTCTGATGGCTGGGCTATCAGATTTCTCTCCACACTTTGCTATAGCACCCATATCTTCAGTGATAATGAGTGCAGTTATTGAGTAGATTAAGAATGTATTGTTCTTAGATTAGTTCTATAATTAAATTTGAGCTCGGAATCATTCATTTGTCTATGATTTTATATGTCTCAGGTTTACTTTACAGACATCAATATTCTTTTATTGGGGATATTATAAATCATCACCATGGGGAATATGGTAATTCTATTGATAGTCTAATTAATTTAGTCTAAGGCATAGAATTGAAAATACTGTGGAGAAAAAAGTATACATATAAAGGACAGCTTTTTAAACCAAACTTTATGCATCGTTGACTTGTTCAAAAACTCAAGTGACTGAACTTACAGAAACAATGAGGGTTGCAGTTAGGGCAAAATTTTGAATAGCTCTTATTCACAAAGGCAGGACCATGTGTGCTAGATTAAGAATTAGAAAAGAAAAGGGTGACAACCCAACAGACTCAAATGAAATAAGAATAATAATGCCTTACTGTGAAATTTCTACTACATTACTACATAATACATTACTACACATTATAACTCCAACAAAACCTAAACAAAATGGGAAATTTTCTAGAAATACATCATCTACCCAAATTAACAGAGGCATTATTTTTCTAATAAAAATGGAAGAAATACATCACGTCATTAAAAAACTTCCTAACAAAAAATTTCCAGTGCCAGATAGCTTCACCAGGGAATTCTATGAAGTCTTCAGGGAAAAGTATATACCAGGCTATATGATAATAGGGGAAAGACAGAAAACCCCAAAATTAATATATGAAGGAGCATAACTCTGATACCAACCAGGTAGAGACACTGCAAAGATGGAAAACCATACATCAATATCCTTTATGAACATACATGCAAAAATTCTCAACAAAATCCTGGCTTATACTATCAGGGTGCAGGGTAGCAATGATGAAACATATGCTTCCTCTAGTTCTTGAATGCTCCCCCCCCCCACTATCATGATCCCAATTCTGCCTTACAAATCTGGCTAGACCAGAGGACATACATTGAGACAGATAGCAACTAGAAAAGAAACACAGGAAATCCAGGACAGATGACTCCTTCAGGACCAGTGGTGAGAGGGGCGATGCCTGGAGGGTAGAGGGAATATGGGATAGAAAGGGAGAACCGATTATAAGAATCTATATATAGCCTCCTCCCTGGGGATGTACAGCAGAGAAGAGGGCAGGGGAGAGACGTCGGACAGTGTAACTTATGACAAAACAGTAACAATTTATGAATTATGAAGGGTTCATGAGGGAGAAGGAAGTTGGGAGGGAGGGGGAAAATGAGCAGCTGATATTAAGGGCTAAAGTAGTAGGCAAATGTTTTGAGAATGATGAGGGCAACAAATGTACATATGTGCTTGGCTCAATGGATGTATGTATGGATTGTG